TAACAATGGCTGTGTTTGTCCGCTGGCTCACCAACATTCCTGAAATTGTAACAGTCAGCTGTTGCAAAGCTGGTTGGTTGTTAAACATTTACCAGGGCACCTCTGCCCTTACCTCAGGGCACAAAGTGGCCTTCCTCAGAACAGACGGAAACCAGTGTGGGGCCCATCATGGCGGACAGAGCCAGGCTGCCTGAGTCCTGGATTCTAATCCAGGCTGGGCCTCTGATTTAGGACAGTGACAATTTACCCATTAAGTTAGCAGCCCATGAAAATATTTCATTTTAATATCTTTTAAATTCAGGAGAAAAAAATGGACTAATAGTGACTATACAATTAGGAGTCCACGATGGATTATATTCATCTTTGTACTAATGTGGTTATAAAATATAATTGTTGCTGTTTTGTTTTTGGATAAAGGGACCCACGAAAGTTACAGCGTGGCCCTATGCAGGTTCCAGGTGGGTAAAATGCTGGAAATACTGCAGATGTCCTGACAAGGTTCCATGGTAGCTGTTACTGGTTAAAAGGTAGGAATCACCTCCAGTTTCAATAACAATGATTGTTTTCTTCTGCTTGGAATAGTATGCAGTCATAAACAATACCATGTGAAGGATCAGGTAGACTGAGGGAAAGCTCAGGAGACAGCGTGCGGACATCAGTGCTGGTGCGCACCCTGAGATTAGCTCCCGGGATGTTTGCCAGGGAGAGGGCAGGAGGGACAAGGACGCAGGAAGCCAGGGACACGTGGGGCTGGTGGAATAGAACGTGGCTTCTTTCTCATGTTTCCCCAGGCACCATCTCATTTCCTTTGTATATATATATTTTTGCTTTTATCTCTACACCCTCTTCTACTCCCTGCCCCCTAGAGGCAACCTTTCTGATGGGTATTCCCACCCCACCCCCCACCCCCCGCCAAAAGGAGCATTGTTTTGCATGCTGCTGTTTTTAATTTGTGTAAATAATCTTGTGTTCAGATCTCCTGTTTCTGTTATGATTTTCACGGTTTTTAAGGCCCATCTGTGCTGCTGCGCGTCCACGGCACGGATTCACGATGACACCCTCCCTACTCTCCCAGGGACGGATACCCTGCTCTGCCACCCACTCCCTTCCACCACAGACAATGCCACGCGTGCCATTGGTCCTGCCCCTTGTAGACCTGTAAGAGAGTTCCTTTGGGGTGAATGACCAGGAGCAGGATGGCTGGGTCAGCAGCAGCACCCCGTTTTCCTCCAGGTAGGGAAACCTATGTGCTCCCCACCGTCGGCAGTGCTGGAGGGAGCCTAGAGCCCCCACCCCCACAAGCCGTTGATACTGTTATGCGGCTTCCTAACACTTGTCAGCTTCATGCATCCCTCTGAAACGTGCATCTCTCTGATCACTCTGCTTTTAAATGTCTTCATGTGCTGATGTGTTAGTGTTAGGCGTTTTTATCTCCTGAACTGCCTTTTAAAACCTCAACGCATTTCTCTCTGCTTTGGGCACGTCTTGTTTCAACAGGCAGGACTTCTGAGGTTAGTCTCTGGTTTCCAAGGTTGCAAATATCTTCCCGTCCTCTAGCCCATGTCTGCTAACACCTCCCTGGGTGTTCTTCATTAAACAGAAAACCTTAATTTTGATGCAATTAAGTTTGCCAGGTTTGAGTCTGATGTTCTGTGCTTACGAACATTTGCTTGAGAAGTCCTTCTCTGCCCTTAGGTTGCATAGTATATTTTCCTACATGAACTTCCTGGCGCCCCTGTTAGACCTTTCATCTGCCTGGAACCCACCTCTGGATGAGGGGTTATGTAGGGACCTTGTTTTATTTTTCTCCATGTAATGAACCAATTTTCCCACACCCTCGTCAGACCATACATCCTTCTTGGTGATGCCGCTCTTGTCATGTATTAAGTCTCCCAGGTGTACCTGAGTCTGCCACTGAGCCCTCTATTCTGTTCCACTGGCCTTCATACCTATCCCTGCACAGACCCCACGTTGGATTTACCATTATGGTCTTGTAATAACTTCTTAAAGAACCTCCGTTCAAGCCGTCCTGCTATGTTCTCTTTCATTAAGGTTGATTTAGCTATTTGAGGTTTATATGCCCCCATATAAATACTAGAATAACCTCTGGAAAGTCTTCAAGAATCATTTGGAATCTTTATTGAAATTGCATTGTATTCATAGACTAATTTGTGAAGAATTTTTATTTTTGATGTTGTTATGTATCTGAGAGCTCAGAGTAAGTAGGTCTTCTTATTTCCTGTGTGTTTGTTATATTGTAATAAAAAATACTAGGAATGAAAAGATTGGGGTCGAACAGAAAGAATCAGGGAGGTACAGTGGGGATGGGGGGCCACCCCCCCGCCCCCCGCCCGCAGCGCACCAATGACCACGGCAGCCCGAGCGTGACAAGGGGATGGCCAGGGAAAAGCTCTGGCTCAGCCACATTCCTGCCAGGCCCGGTGGCCCAGGCACTGGGCACCCCTCTCAGTCAGCATCTCCTTTAATTTGTCATCTACCCTGTGGGGCAGCTACTGCCACCCCAGCTTTAATGGTTCGGTAGATGAGGAATGGGTCCAAGGCAGGTTGCAGAGGTAGAATTTGGACCCGGCAGGCTGCCCACCTTCTGCATTGGTACTGTGATGGTCCCGTGACAGGGGACCCCTGCCCACTCGCGCTGGGCCTTGGGGTGCATTTTTACCACGGCCCTGCCTGGCCTTAGCAAGTGTTCAGCTTGGCAGTCAGAGCTGCGTTGGCAGCGACGCTAGGCAGTGAGGGGCTCCGTCCCCTCTGCCCTCGCCTGGCCCTGGGCTGGAGAGCCATGGCTCCCTGCACCCTCTCCGTCCACACCAGGCGACCCAGCTCACCTGGGCTTGTGACTCCCACTGAGCGTGTCTGGGAAAACCACGGCCCCGCGGTGCAGGGGGTCAGGGACGAGGCGGCCAATCCCGACCCCAGGGAACGCTCCGGCAGGATGTGTCAGCCGCCCGGGGGGCTCCAGCCTTAGTGTCGCCCCAGCTCACGGGGTAGCCTTGTGTGGGCTATGGCCCCGTGCCTCATCCCCGCTCAGGGCTGGCCCAAGCGGCAGAGCTGTGAAAAGGAACCAGGAAGGGAGCTGTGACCGCCACGCCCCTCCTCGTTCATGGGCAGGTTGCAGGAGTCATGCTTTACACAGGGCTCCACTTGGTTTTTCTTTAAGCCAAGGAAGAGATTCTTGGGAAGCCAACTAACTCCTGCTGAATCAGGTGACCGGCCCTTGACTTTTATCACCTTCCTTAATACTCTCAGGATGAGGCAAGGACTTGATCTCAATTTTACAGGTGGGGAAACTGAGGCTGAGAGAGGTGCGGGGACATGCTCAGGGTCACACAGCCCCTAAGGAGCGGAGCAAGGGTTTGAGAATAAAAAGACACTGTCAGACGCTGTTCTTCCTGAGCCCAGGTTGGTAACTGAGGCTCTGGGGTGAGGGAGCAGAGATCTCTGGTGTGAGAAACAGAGGTCTGGGAAGATAAGCCTCCAGGGCCACCAAGTGAGGGCACACAAACTACTCACGTGGCTCAGCTGAAGTAATGTCCTCACCCTAGGGCTTCCCTTCCAGGAACAGAGTGACTTGCTTAAAACAAGTCCCCTGCCTTCCCGTCTTTCATCTGTTTCCCATCTGTGTTGAGGGGGGCGGTGGCGGGGGGCTGGCAGCAGAGCTGTGGGGAGGGTCTAATTATAATAACTTGTCATCTGTAGGAGGTGTGTGACCCTCTCCAAAGCCCACTGGCGAGGGGGTGGTTGGGTAGGGGGTGGGATTCCCCCCAGTGGTTAGTAAGTAAAGGCGAGACGTGGGACAGGGATGTGAGGGTGGGGCTCAGGGAAGGGGACCAATGCCAGTGCTCTGTGCTCTCTGCTGGGGGTGGGGTCCTTCTGCACCTATCCCTCTCTCTCTGTGCTGGTTTGTCTGTTAATCTCTCTCATCGCTGCATCTCTTCCTCTAGCTCTATTATCTCTGTCTCCTTTTGTTTCCTCCTGAGGAAACCAGCACATGATTGTGACACAACAGAGGTCCAGCCACTAGAAGTGGCATCTGTCCTGAGACGCTCCCCTGGCTCAGGGCCTGACCAGGCTGGTGCGAGACTTGTACATCCACCTATTTGGCAGCAAGTATTTATTCAGGGCCCCGAACACGCCGGGGCTGGGCTGAACGGGTGAGCGAGGCCGCCACTGTGCTGCTCTGGGGGTGCTCAGACTCCAGGGGAGACGCCACTTCCCTCTCTCTGCTCAGCCCCGCCCCCTCCCCTGCCCTGGCCCCTGAGCCCTCAGGTGCGTGCAGCCCTGGTTCCCCAGCCCACCGTGACAACAGATCAGAGGTCAAGCCACCCACGTGGCAGTCCGAATGCTTGAAGTATCCCGCCCGCTAAGTGGCATTCTCTGAAATCTAGTGTCCCCGACACCTGGAGGGCTGGCAGCCCCCTAAGTGGTGGGACAGGCTGAGCCCAGGGACGGGCGAGATGGAAGGACCAACTCCCCCAAAACAAACCTCCAGTTCACAGCCACCCCAGTGCCTGAGCAGGTGACTCTCACCAGAGGCAGCCGCAGGGTGGTGAGGCTGTGACAAGAGGGAGGAAGGGAGAGGCTAGGGTTCCTTTAAGGGGCTGAGCCAACAACAGATGCCCCCGTTTGGGGTCAGGCCCTTTCTGAGGCCACAGGGTGGACGATGGCAGAGAGGCTGCCTTGCCGGGAAGGTGGGGGTGGGGGCGTAGCGGAAGGGAGGAGGGGTTTCTCTGGCGGGCAGGGGTCCCAGGATTGTAGGAATTTTGGATGCCTGTAGTCCTGGATTTGTGACCTCTCAGACCAGAGGTGAATCTGGATAGGACCTTTGAGGTCACGTGGTCCTACCTGGTTCCCATCTCCTCCACCCCACCACCCTACAAACCACATTGTACAAATGTAGAATATGAGGCCCAGAGGGAGGCCAGGAGCTGTCCAAGGTCACACAGGGGGTTGGAGCTGAGTCCAGAGTGCGGGCCAGCCCCCTATTCGTGTGACACAGTGTGGGTCTGCTCAGCTTGGGCCATCCCGGAAGAGGCCACGGTGCTCTGGATTGGGAAGTAGAGCATGATGAACCAGCAGAAGATGAAGACGCCTGCAGGGAGCAGAGGCAACGCGTGAGCCTGGGGGCCGGCGGGGAGCCGGGCGGCCTGGCCGGCAGTGGCCCGGGCAGAAGTAGCCCCACTGAAAAAGTTCGAGAACTTCTAGGAAAATCAGTCCTGCATACTGAAGGCCTCCTAATGTTCCCCACGTGCATGATCTCAGCTGTTCATCGTGAAGTGTGGTGAGGTCAGTGTGGGATTATCCCAACTGTACAGATGACTGGATCCCAGGAGCCTAGTGACTTGCTGGAGTCACGAGTGGCACTTGGATTTGAATCCAGGTCTGCCTGTCCGCAGGGCTCCTGGCCACGATGCCATGCCATTTCATGAGGCACTGGGAACCAGGCCTGTTTTTGTGGGCTTGCACCTGCTGAGTCCAGGGCATGTGGGTTCCGTGGACGGGATGAGACTATAGACCAAATGTTGGGCAGGGGGTGTTTCTCTCACAGGCAGGCTGGGAGGCTTCTTTGAAATGTGTGCGGACCAAAGAGGACAGGCGCACACAGGGAAACCTTGACCCACATCCTGGGCACCTGCCCCTTTGCTGGGGTATCAGAGGAAGGACCCCATAGGGGCAGGAAGCAGACATATCAATCACTTCCTCCACTAATCACTTCCTTCCCGCCTCCACAACTCCTTAGAGACTCTGTCCGTGTCATGTGGCCGTCACATCACGTGGCTGTGGCCTCCTAGTCACAGCTGACTGGGCCAGAGATGGACACCTGACTAAGATGGCCCAATCAGATCCTGACTTTCCTAAGAACACAGAAGAGACGGAATCAGACCGTAATCACTAGACCTGGAAGGTCAGTAGGGTGGAGGCGACCACATTGAACAGCCATTTGGGGGCCATGGGTAGGAACAGACCAGCAGAGAGAGAAGGATGGAGGAGTTTCTACAGAGGGAAGAAGGTGAGAGGCCACGTGTGGCTCCAGAGAAAAAAGATGGAGAAAGTGTCTGCATTGGTTTGGGTGGTTTTTCCTGAGTTTGGCACCAGCTCCCACAAGGTCAGCCAGCCTTCCTGCCCTGGGGTTCTGGGGAGAGCCCTGGATATTTAAAATAAGTGCCCTTGATTTGAGCTGGCCTGAGTAGAATCCTGTTCCTCACACATCACTCCCTCCCCACCTCCCAACATCCCCTGGTACAGACCAGGCAGCCCCCGCCTTCCCTGGACCAGGAGCCTCACCTTGTAAGGAGTTGAACAGCGCAAAGATATAGATGGTAGACAGGCCCAGGGGTGTGAGGATGGCCAGCCCCCATGTCATGCCCACCAGGCTTGACAGGCCCAGCAAGGTGAGGACCCCCTTCCATTTCTGCCGCTTCTCCTTGCCTGCTGTGGCGCTTGACAGAGTGAAGATCTTCCAGACCACGAGGCCCAGGGCCACAGCGCTGAAAAGGTAGGTGACGAGGAAGTAGCCATGGACGACGATGTAGAGGGCAATTTTCTTACTGAACCAGCACCTGGTGGAGGCGGGTGGCTGTTGGGACTGGGCCCGGTACCCCTTGACCAGCAAGCCCTGGACAGCCTCCCTGGCTGACCTTCAATGACCAGGAGGATGCCTTCCTTTCCTTGCCTCCACCCATCAGTCCCCCGCTCTCCTGGGGAAGGGCTCTCAAGTGGCTCCAGTCCGCTGTCTCTTTAGACCAGTGAGTGCAAAAGGGTCAATTTGGCCCCAAAGATATGTTTTGTTTGCTCCACATTATGTTGTAAAAAGGCTGAATTAATGATCATCCTTTAAAAAGGAGGAGAGTTGGCATAAAAATCTTCCTGATTTTCTTGGAAAACCATACTCCTGGCAGCTGCCCTTTAGATGAGTGGGTGACTGCCAGTCTACTGCAGTCCCCACCCAGGCCACCACATGCACTTGGTTACTGCCTTCTGGAGCCCTGGAGCCCCTGAATTTGTGGCCCAGGGACAGCACCAAGGCCCCGCCAGCCCCTCTTAGCACAGAGATGTGGGCCCGGGACCGGTGCCCTGGGAGGGGCTCTGCTCTGTCCCCTGCTCCCTGCACTGCAGGGATGAAAAGCGCAAAAGAGCATGTCTATCAGCCCACCTCACGCCCCGTGCCCCGCATTGTACAGATGAGGAGACCGAGGCCCAGGGAGAGCATGGGCTTGCCCAGAGTCACACAGCAACTCAGAGGCAGAGCCTAGAGAGGACCAGGGCTGCTGGGAAGGGTGGGGCAGGTTACGCACTGCACAAGGGCACCGGGCTGAGGGGGCAGGTAGGGCTGAGATCCAGCTAAGTGCCCAGAACGGCAGGTTAGGGGTAGAGGCACTTTTTAAAAATTTGTCCCAAAATGCCATATGGGCTGGTGGTGGGCCAGGCTAAAGCAAGGCATCCTGCCTCCTGGTCTAGTTCTCTCTCCTGCTTCTCAGGACCCCTCACTCATTGCATTTCCTCTCTCTGGGCCTCAGTTTACTCCTGCAGGTCATGAACCAGCTGGATCTGAGGATCCTTGGCTTGACTTGCTCTGTCTCTCCTCCCAGGACTCGTGTCTCTCCCCACCTCCCTCGATATGTGCAGCCGGGGACCAGATGTCCCTACTGCTGCCACGGCCACCACTCACAGCTCCAGTGTGGTCCTGCCCTCCTGGTCTTGGATGGTGTAGAGGCCATAGCTGTTGGCAGTCCCAGTGCCGATGACCATCAGGGCTGGCAGGCCTGGGTCGGGGGAGGAGGCATGGCATTGCTGCGACTCCCGTGACATGCCCCCCTCCAAAACCCCCTCCAGCTGCCCACCCTGCAAGCCCCAAGCCTACTGGAGAGGCGGAGCCGCCTCTCCCCGAGGCGGCTCCTCTCCCTGCCCCTTCAGGGCCAGCCGTGCCCTCTGCCTGCCCAGGCAACACCTACCCCAGCCCACCAGGCTCAGCTTCAGGAAGTAGTGCCCGAAGTAGGTGTTATAGACCCTGATGACGAGCAGGTAGAGGTGGAAGGATTCTAGGCCCATCCAGGTGAAGACACAGAGCAAGATGTAGTGGAAGAGGGCCCCCTGGGCCCAGCAGGTGGCAAGGGACTCCTTTGAGCTGTGCCCCAGATTGATGAAGAAGGTTAGGTTCAGGAGGAACAAGCTCACACACAAAGCCACGTGAATCTTGGGAGCATCTTCCGACTCGAACCTCTTCTGGGAGAGCCTTGGGGGAGAAGGGCCAGTGAGAGGCTGCAGGAGACCACGGACTCCCTTGGCCTCTCCATCCACCTCCTCTGTTCCACTCCTGCTGGATCCAGAGTGTGAGTGCCTCAGGCTCTGGCCCAGGAGCCCTCTCGAAGCCCCTCAGAGCCTGCTGGCCTCATCCCTCGCCTGGGTGCTTTAGCCATACTGCGTAACCTGCAATTCCCTGAATGCATGCTGTTTTTCCATGCCTCCCAGGCTTTGCCCTTGCTCTTTCCTCTGCTCTCACTGGCTTTCCCTACTCTGTCTTCAGATCTCTCCTTGGGCATTTCCTCCTGGGGGGGGGGGCTGTCTCTGAATACCCCTTATCCCAGGCTGTTTACCTTCCCCTTGTCACTGGAGCTGGCCCTTTGTCAGCTCAAACCCAAGCGTAGGCCCGTGACCCAGCCTGGCCAATCAGTGGAGCCTGTCCCTCGACCACAGTGCAGTCATGGGCACGTGGCCTGGATTAGATCAGTAAAACTCAGCTCTGGTATACGTGGGATAAAACTGCACAGAACACGTACACACTCGTGAAAAACGATTCTAGGTAGTGACACTGTACCAATGTCGATTTCCTGGTTTTGATATTGTACTGGAGTTACGTGAAATGTCATCTTTGGGGAAAGCTGGATGAAGAAAGCGTGGGGCTCTATGTACTATTTTCACCACTTCCTGTTAGTCGACAGACATTTCAAAATAAAAAAAAACAACTTAAAGACTTCAGCTCTGGACTCAGTGTAGGGAGGGTATGAACTGTCCAGGCAGCTAAGATGCTGTGATGCACGCCTGGGACCCCCGGGGGCCCCTGAGTGTGGAGAAGCTGCCTGACATGACCGACAAAGCAGAGAGCAAAGTTGCGAGCAGCAGAGGGACCTCAAGGTCTGAGGACGGAGTCATGGCTCCAACCGCGCCTTGGGCATTTCCGTTACATGACCCACACTTTCCTTATTACGTTTAAGCCAGTTTGAGCTGAGCTTCTGCCACTTGTAACTGAAATGGCCCCAATGCATTTCGACCTCCAGCCCCATTTTATAGATGAGGAAACGAAGGTTTGGAGAGGATATCAGGATACTTTTGCACAACCAGGTGCCTTTTTCCCGGCCGTCCACTGCTGCCCTTGAGGACAGCAGGGAGCGGGGAGGGCTCACCCACCTCAGGACAGTGTAGAGGATGATGGTGAAAGCCAGGAAAACCATGGAGGCTCCACAGCCAGCCTGGGAAATTTTTGTGAGGGCCTGCACGGTGGCCTTGTCCAAGGTCGGCCTCTGTGGGTGACCCCCCCACAAACAGGACCCCATCAGTTGAAGGCCAGGCCAGGCCCACCTACCCCCAAAGGCCCTGGCCCCTGCCAGGAACCACCCTCCCCAGGACAGGAACCCCGGGCACCTCCAGAGCTGCTGGGATCAGGGTGGGTGGGCTGTTACCAGCAGCAGGGCAAAGAAGGTCAGGTGGTCACAGCGGCAGACAGTCCCCTCGGCTCCGAGCTCTGTGGAGCAGCCCTCGGAAGACCAGTCTCCTGTTGACCGTGGAGAGGAGGGAAGGGGATTAGAAGGGAAGAGAGGGAGGAAAAAAGGAAGAGACGAGACCGGGCGCGGGGCGGGGCGGGGGGGGGGCGGGGCGGGGGGGGGCGGAACGAAGAGGAAGGGAGGGGCCCTGCTGGTAGAGCCCTGCATCCCTAAGGGAGCCCATACCCTCCCCACCTGTCCTACCCAGAGAAGGTCCTCCAGGCCCTACCTTTAGCCACATCCCAGAATACACAGGTGAGGGTCATGTTCTGAAACCAGAGAATGGGAGTCAGGGAAGAGACAGGGGAAGGTTGGGAGAGGGGAGAACAGCGTGCTGCCTTGTCTCAGCATGCCTGTGCCTTAGGCAGAAAGCAAGGCACACCCCATGGTCCCACAGAAACAGGAGCCACACCATTTGATGGCCCCCAGAACAGTGCATGAAGGGTGAGGGGTGCGGGAGGGTTGCATGTCTGCGGGTGGATGTGCAATGCTGCGGGTATGCCCGCGGGCGTGCCAAGTCCTGTGTGCACCTCTGTGAGCATGTGAGTGGGAGGGGTCCAGGAGGCACGGGGGCATGTGTGCACTAGGTGGGCCTGCACCCCTGGGCACCACTGTGTCTGCGGCCCTAATGGCTCCTCCTGGGTGGATGTGGAGGGTGGACGGTGCAGAGTCCTGCGCATGTCCGTCCTTGTGCCCCGAGGGGCCCACATGCCTGTCAGCCCCTGAGCAACTGCCAGGCCTGGGCAGGGGTTGGTGGCAGGGGGAGGGGTGCTCACAGGAGGCTGTCGCTGGTGGGAGAAGGTGATCTCTAAAGGCTCTCTCAGCCCCGTGACGTGCATGCGGCCCAAACTCAAGCCCACCAGGCGATTGTTCAACACGCTGCCATTGTTCTCCCGGCTGAGTCTGTGGCCCTGGGGAGGGAAAAGGGGGTGGTCAGGCTGCAGACGGGGCTGTCCCAACTCAGCCGTGGCCGGGCTTCCTGGGAGCCTCCAGGTCCCATGGCCCGTGCCTGGAGGGCAAAGTCTGAGGCCAGGGGACCAGGGGGGATCCCGCCTGCTGCTCCCCAAGTCTTTCGCTCAGGCCGGGCCAGGGCGGACCCTACACTCCAGGCAAACTGGTCACAAAGCCATGTACATGACAGCTCTCCCTCCCTGGCCTCCAGGCCTCCTCTGCCCTCCTCACTGGAGGGCGCAGGGCCCGAAGAAAAATCAGCGCACAAATGGAGGACAGTGGGTGCCTATGCGGGGGGTGGCGGTGAGCACCTGACCACACAGCACTTAGGCCAACGTTTGTCTGCCTGTGAGCGGATACATGTCTGGGGACACACGTGGGACACATTTGCAAGGGCATGGATACACTTGATCACGTGGATTATGTGTGCATCAGGAATAGGAACTCATATGCACATTTGGGCGGGGACAGGGACCCACGGGGGACAGGGGCCCACTTGGGATGCACATACAAGTCCAAGGGCACAGGTGTGTGGGACCAGCCTAAGTCTGAAGTCCATAGGCTCTAGAGACGGGTCTGGGATCCCCGTGGGCTGCTTGGGGGACACCTCCAGAGACTCATCCCCTCCGCCATCCCCACTGGGTCCCTCAGGGAAGAATCCACTGAGGGTAAGTCCAAGCGCTGCCTGGGGAACCTCTGGGCTGCCCTGGGCCTCCACCCAGCTTCTCCGCACCTTGAAGAGATTCCCCGACCCGATGTCCAGGACAGATACGGCCAAGCGGACCTCCGACCTGCTGCCCTGCAGGGACGCAAACAGGCTCCTGGGCAGCCGGACTCTGTCAGGGAACTTGTTCTTGTCCTCCGGCGCCTGCCCCAGAATCTGCAACCACAGACCCAGAGGCCCTTCCTTTACCCAGGGATTCCAGCCCCCAACACAGGTCCTGCCACTGCCGCCCCCCCCCCCTCGCCGTGGGGAAAGGGAAACTGAGGCACACCGGGTGGAGGGGTAGCACCTGAGGACCTTAGCTCTGAGAGGCAGGACATTGGGGGGCACAGCCCAGGCCACGAGCCCCTGGACAAATCCCAGCAGGCACAGAGCCTCCGTCTTCCCAGTGTGGAGAATGGCCGTAACAAGGGGCCTGCGTGGCTACCTGTGAGGCTGAAAGCGGGCTGTGAAGAGAGGACACCTGGACGAGTTCAGGTTGCAGGTGTGGGGGAAGGTCAGCTGTGGTGCACGTGTGGCCAGGGTCCCGACAACCCCTGTGGCCGCGTAAGGCGTGATGGGGATATTGTCTCTTCTGACTTGGGAATAAGTGGGAGGAGTAAGGCCAAAGCAAAGGATGCTCAAAATATTAAAATAACTTTCACTGGCAAATGCAAAGCACGTCTTGTGTGACCTCGGACCTCACTTCTTCCCTGGAGCTGACCCCACCTGGTCCTGCCTCCCGAGCATCCCACGGGCAGAGCTACAGGGGACTACGGGTTGGAGCTAAGGACTCCGGCTTACTCCTTCCCCGCCCGCACCTTTGTCAAAAGGACACGTGATTTCTGGAGCCAGAGCGCACCCCAAGCAGAGCACTCAGCTGATTGGAGGACAAGAGAAAGGCCTGAGAACGCGCCCCAGCCAGCCTCCATCTCCCCTTCTCGGGCAGACCCGGAGTCCCGCCTGCCCGCTGCCTGCGCTCCCACGCCCGCTTCACTCCGGAAGGAGGCCCCGCCCTCGCCGGGGCCCCGCGCTCCCTGTGAATCATCTTGTTTGCTCGCCTGATAATCTTGAAATTGGGCAACACTACCATCGCCTTACAAATGGAAAACTGAGTCTAAGAAAAGTTATGTAATTTGCCCAAGATCACAAGAGCCGGTCAGGGGCGGAGCTGGGATTTGAATCCAGACAAATGTAAATCCAGAGTCTGCCCGTTGAGCCCTTTGCAAGACCACTGAGCACAGCTGCCCTTGTTCCAAATGTGCCCTGGGTGGAAGAGCTCACAGCAGCTCCAGGCTTCGAAGGAGCCATGGAGCTCATTTTACTGGACTCCAGGGATTTTCGCTCTCATGGGGCAGGGGGCCATCAGGCACCAGAACTCAATCTCCTCACACTCAATTCAATGATCTTTCAAATGTCTCATCCTAGAAACCCAGATAATGTTACCAGGGTCCATGCATCTATGAACTCACTAGCACCCTCTAGCAAGGTGGCAGAGCCCTGCCTAAAGGGACAGAGGAGGGATAAGTTTTGATGAGCACCAAGCACAGACCACGACTCTCTGAGAATCCTCAAAAATGTGCCCGAGGAAAACAAGCCAGAGGTGGGGGGTGGGGGGTGGGGGGTGGGGGGTGGGGGGAGCTCTTCACCTGAGAAGGGGTCAGAGAGAAGTGCAGGTCTTCTGAGATGTTGGTGCTGACGTTCTTGACCAAAGCCTTCAGAAAAGACAAATTCATTGCATTCTCTAGACTCTGCTCCACCAGATAGTTCTCGTAGTCCAGCCAATATCTGCAAGGAGCCAGGGGTCAGGAGCCACGTAGGGCTTTGCACGCTGAGTCACCCACTCACCTGGGCCCCAGCCTGGATGGCAGGAGGACAGAGACCGTGGGCGATGCTCATCAGGCTCTGGGGGTAGAAGGAGTGACCTGTAATATCACAGGAAAGACCCTGGGATCGCCAGGGAGAAGGGCGGCATGGGACCAAGCCAAGCTTGTCCCAAGGGGTTCGAGCCAGCAGTTCCTCTGAGTAGTTCATGTGTTTATCTTTTTGTGATAAACTCCACATAACATAAAATGTATAATTTTAACCACTTTAAAGGGCACAATTCATCACCCCCAAAGGAAACCCTGTACCCACTAAGCAGTCACTCTTTTCCTTCTTCCACGAGCCTCTGGTAACCACTAATCTGCTTTCTGTTTCTATAAATTTGCCCATTCTGGATATTTCATATAAACAGAATTATATGGCACCTGGGTTTTTCTTGTGCCTGGCTTCTTTTACTTAGCATAACATTTCAAAGTTCATCTATGTTGTAGTAGCATGTAAAAGTATTTTGTTCCTTTTTATGCATGAATAGTATTCCATCGCATGGATATATTACATTTTGTTTATCCTTTTCTCCATTGATGGACATTTGGGTTGTTCCTATGTTTGGGCCACTGTGAATAAGGCCGCTGTAAACATTCACATACACGCTTTTGTTTGAAGACTTGTGTTCAGTTCTGGGTCTATACCTAGGCGTGAAATTGCTGGGCCATATGGTAATTCTGTGTTTAACTTCTTGAGGGATTGTCAAGCTGTTCCCCACAGCAGCTACACCATTTTACTTTCCTGCCAACAATGTCTGTTTCAATATCTTCATATGCTTGCCAACAATTATTTTTCATTTTGTTTTTAATTGTAGCCATCCTGCTGGGTATAAAGTGGTATCTCATTGTGGTTTTAACAGGCATTTCCCTACTGTGTAATGATGTTGAGCATATTTTTACATGCTTATTGGTCTTTGTGTATCTTTGGAAAAACTCCTCTGAGTATTTTAAACTGTGGGATGATCACTGTGTTGGGTGAGTGAGCACGTCATCATATTTATTGAGTGCTAACTGCATACTGGGAATTCAGTCTTTGGAGACTGAGCTGTATGAAAACTGACTTATAGGAACTGAGCTGTTGTGGGAACCACACAGAAGTTAAATGGCATTTGTTTTACGGCAGCTCCCTCCCCTGAGCTAAAGTATTAGGGTGAAGCCAAGTCCATGGTGCTCTCCGTGGTGCTGAAACCCAACAGCATGCAGGGTTTCTTTTCCTAAACCTGGAGTCCTACGACCTGCTGCCCAGGGAAGGGCTGAGATACCAATGAGAGGGAAGGGGGAGGGAGGGAGCACATGCAGTCAGGTCAAGGCTATTGGAAAGGAATAGCTATGGAGGGCCTGCCAGGGAGACAAAAGGAGGCTTTTAGTTTGACATCATTTTTGAACACTCAGTTATCAAGGGGAAAACCCCCAAAGAAACCACAGAAAAAATATTGCACAATATAGAGAGTAAACTATGCAAATATGTGCAAATATGCTTGGGTAGAGCAGGCAATTAGAACACCACCGAGCCAGAAACAGTGGAGCGAGTGTGTCCAAATCCATTGATTGAGCTACATCAATTGTGTCTAGCTTTTATTTACCTTCTAAAAATCTAAACAAATAAGTATTGTGATTGTCATTGTTACCAAATAAAATAGTGAATTGTGTGTGTGCGTGTGTACACACAGACACAATTACCCAAATAAACAAGCATATTTGCACATATTTGCGTGGTTTACTTTGTGTGTGTGTGTGTGTGTGTGCATGTGTGTGTGTATCTCATGCACTGAAACTTTTTATGGCCTCATCAAACAACCCAACTTACTTTCTCAAAGAAAGATCTCCTCATTTGGTTTTCAAAGCACTTTAAAAAATTATTTTAGTTGTGAAATACAACACACTTAAAAAGTCTAAAGCATAGATATACCAAAGAATTTTTCATTACAACATTGATACCCCTTTAGCATCAGCTTCCTTGTCTGATATTAATATAGCTACTCAAATTTCTTTTGTCTAATACTTATCTTTCCACATGTGCCTGTTTCTTTCAAGATAAGTGGTGTGACATTCAACAACTTGTCTCTTATCTTGGAGGGGATGTCTTGACATTCTCTAGACATCTGAATGCCCAGAAGTTTCAATGAGGTGAGGGACCCCCTGAATTCTTGTGGGGTTTCTCTCCCATCCTCTAGTTCACATATATCTTCCTAAGACATCTTAAGTACTTGCCACTTTCTGTTCCTTACATCTAATCAGCATGATGCTGTCAATGTAGTGGGCCAGCGATGCTCTGTAGAATGTCAAGATTCGTGAGGTCTCTATGAAGTATATCATGACAGCAACCAGGAGGATAGACACAGTCTCAAGGAAGCACTGTGGCAGAATCCTGTTGGCCTTGCCAATCAAAAATAAACTGCTCGGGCAGTCCTTGACAACTGGTCTGGAGAAAAAAGTGTGAGGCATGTAATAGCTGCATACTAATCACCAGGGGCTGTGTTGACTTATTCAAGGAAACATATTCATCTGCGGCTGCAGCTGCAATTGGACCTGCCGCGTGATTCGGTTTATGATGGTCCGCAGTCATTCTCCAAGACACACCTGACTTCTGATGAGTTAAATGGTTGGAATGGCTATCACCACCTCCGTGTCTTTCAAATCTTTCCTGGTGGCATTCATCTCTGCAGGGATGTAGTTTTGTCTCTGGTTTACTATCTTGGGAGAAGATATTCCAGGAGCCTCCACTTAGCTCTTCAGTGTGATGCCCTCCCAAAAGCAATTCAATGGAGAAAGCATAGACTTTTCAACAAATAGTGCCAAAACAATTAGATATCCAGATGCAAAAATACTGGTGCTAACAATATAAAGTTAGACATTTATCTCATGCTGTGCCCCCCAAAATTTACTCCAAATGTATAACCCAATTATAAGAGCTAAAACCATTTTCTTATAGAAGAAAATTTAGGGGGAAACTTTTGTAACCTTGGGCTAGATGAAATTTTCTTTGATATGATATCAAATACACACACACATTTAAACTGGAATTCACCAAAATTAAATGTGTTGATCTTCAAAAGATATCATTAGGAAAATGACAAGACATCCATATGCTGGGAGAAAATATTTGCAAATCGTACATCTGGTTTTAAAAAACTTGTATATATACAAAGTTCTTAAAACTCAATAAGAAGAGGACAGCCCAATTCTTTAAAAAGGGAGGGAAAGAACTGAATAGTTATTTTACCAAAGTAACTACACCGATGGCTAACAAGCACAAGAAAAGACATTCAGCCACACGAGTGCTTTGTGAAAAGCAAGTTGAAGTCACGGCGAGGTCTCGCTTCACACGACGGGACAGCTACCACCACAAAGGCTGGCAGTGCTGCCAGGATGTGTGACACAAGCAGCTCTCAGTGTTTGGGCCTGTGCCTGCCCCTCCACGCCTCCCAGTGGCTGGGGCCGATTTGTCTCTGTATCCACTGGATCAGAGGGGCCTCGGGAGGCCGGTTGGGGAGAATGTGTCAAACAACAAGGCGGAAGGACAAAATGAGAGCAATAGTTTGTGGGGGCTTGGGGGTGCATAGCTCCATCCCTTCCCTCCTCCCCACCTCTGCAGGAGCCCCGGAGTCCTGCTCCAGCTCAGAAGGCCTAGTTACCTCTGCAAATTTCCCAGATTACAGGATTCATTGCTCAACTGTTCACACGTTCTGAAGCACTGGGCAGTGTTCTCAAGATAGAAGGGGCCGTAATGGCCCTTATTGATGAGCCCCAGGCAGACGTTCCTTGGTTCCTCGGTGAATTTTTTTGACACAGGTTGGCTTGTGATGTTTTCCCCACCTACAGGAGGGATGCAGAGTGTGAATGCGCTGGGTGGGGCAAGGGCTCCAGAGTCTGGTGACATGGGCTGGAATTCCAGCTCCTTCCAGTCACCCTAACTGTGTGCACTTGAGCTGGACTCACAACTTCCCTGGGCCTCATGTTCAAGGTGAAAGGAGATACTACCCCCCATCTTACAGGGCCAGTGGGATGCATTGGAGAAAGTGTGTATGAAGGACTTGGGTTTGTGGCTCTCCAGATAGAAGGTTTGATATGTTAGTGGTGGTACCCTTTGCCACCTCCTCCAAGGAGTCTGCCAGGCTTTTCTGCAGTTGTTCTACATCAGACTTTCCAAAGCCCTTGCAAGTGTGGCCTCATGGTATAACTCTTGGATGTATTGGTCTCGGTTTGCCTCATTCTCCCCCATTCCCATTGCAACCCTCATGGCTACCTTCTGGGGGGAGTAGAGAATACAGCCAACTGAGGCCCCCTGGGACATAGTGACATGAGCAAGGTCACCAGCTAGTCGGGGATGGCCCCAGGACAACAGGTCAGCTTTCGTGACTTCTAGGTTGGTCCCCTTTCACCTGGTACAGGGGGTGGAGAGGAAGCTTTGGACCACTTAGGAGCTGTGTGACCTCAGGCAAGTTACTTAAACTCTCTGAGCCTCGATCTTCCCATCAGCCAAATGAGGCTAATGATACATTCCTTGCAAGTGCTGGGAAAGTTTAGAGATCATAGCTATAAAGGACAGAGAGCATTGTAGCCGTTCAAAGAGCCAGTAGTATTTATTCCAGGATGTGAGAACTTCCTTGAAAAACTATTTGTATCTTTTTACATTGGATGAATGAATGTGTCTGTATATTTCTCTATTTCTAAATAAAAGTGTGGAAAGTTTTAAAAAATTAAATTGTGTCCAAAGACACAAAATGAAAAGTAACAGTCCTACTGGTCCCAAGTTACACTCCAGAGTTCACCAACGGTAACAGTTTATTGCATAACCTTCCAGAAGTTTTCTGTGTACATGTTCATATTAAATCATTTAAAAATTTACATGGAGGGAGTCACTTAGCAATATCCCTTGAAGAGCTTTTGACATCAGCACCTATTGACATATCTCATTCTTTATATATTTGCATACGATTCCATTATACAGGTGATCAAACCCTTATTCAATTGGTCCTCTGATGGTGAACATTTAGAATCGTTACTGAACTTTTACATTTGTTGAACACTGTTGTTTACATCTTTGTCATAGAAAACATTCCTATCATAGGAATTGCTGTGTCAAAATATAGCAGTATGTGCTTTAAAAACTGCTAGGTACTATTGAATTTCCTTCTGAAAGGGGTGTAGCTTTCTCCCTAAGTGGCCAAGCACGACTACGACCCACATGCTCAGAATCCTAGACTTTACCCAACATCTTTGCCAGTGCGAGGGGTGAAACTGAATTTCGTTTTCATTTAGGGAGGAGGCTGAGCATCTGTTGGTAGGTCTATTTGCGTGAACAGCTTTGTCGAATCCTTTATCCATGTTGAGGGGTCTTAACCAGTCAGTGGCATTTCACCTTCCCACTGGCACGTCGGGAGCTACGGGGGGCCAGCTTTGGGGTGTGCAGGGCCGGGGGGAGGGGCCAGGACACACGGACCTTCCATTTCTCATACCCTTCTCTAGTGTTGGATATCTTCTTAAACCCCATATGATATTACTCTCACAATAAAAGAAGCTAGTTCATTTTAAAGACAAAAATTAAACACATGGTCAAGATAATGGCAGACCAAAGTTAGAGTAAATGTGGAGTTAAAAAAAAATGACATTTTAGAGTGTATTTTTATCATGATCAGATAGAGATCTATGTGGGTCAATGCCATAAAGCGGGTTATAAAGGAACTTTCTATTTCTGTTAGTTTACAAAGATAATCATGGTACATTGTTGAATGGAGGAAAAAAGCACATGATAGATGAGCGTGTTTATAATATGATCCACATTTGCTTTTTAAACAACAGAGGAAGAGAGAAAAAGAGAAAGAAGGAAAAGGGGCAGGAGAGGAAGGAAGGGGAGGGAGAGGAAGGGGAGGAAAGGGAGGGCAGGAAGCTGTCTGCTCGAGGGGGTCCTGCTGTGCGCGTGGGCCTGGGCCTGCCCTATGGCCCAGGGGTCAGGAACAGGTGCTGTGACAGGCGTGAACAGAGCCCCTCCTGGCCCGCTGTCAGCTTTAGCGCTGTCACGCCTGTGAAGCTGTTGATAAGCACCTAGCGCTGAGATGATCAAATCCCGTTTTTGTGATTATTTCTGGAAGAATAGACAGCATTTAGCCTCGACAAGGAGACCCTGTCGCAGGCCAGGGTGCGGAGGGCGCCCCACCCTGCGGAGGGCGCCCCACCCTTCTCCCGTCTGCTGTGCCCCAGGGCCGGCCTCCAGGACCGCTTCCTCTAGATTCAAATGGGGAGCAGGCTGGAGGTCAGAGGGCAGGCTGGAGGTCGGAGGGCAGGGTGGTGCCTGCCACTCCTCCTGCCCCTACGGCCCTCCCCAAGGCTCCCCACCCCTGCCTGCTTTTCTCCCCGGCCCCCACAGCCTCCCTGGCCTGAGGCCCCTTCGCGGCTCCCCTACCCCTTCCTACACCTTTGTAAAGTGTCCCTTTATGAGAGTGTGTCTGCCTCCGGCTGGGTGCCTATCATGCCCTGGGCTCCTTTGAAGGCCCCGTCGCTGCTAGACTGTGAGCCTATTGAGGGCAGGGACCCTGGGCTGTACCAGTGCAGGGCCTGGTGCTGCGGAGAGGGCACCATCAGAGCTTCATGAAGGAATGAACAAACGAACCAACGAACGAACGAATGAATGAATGAATGGGCGAACGGGCCACTAACCCATAAATACACACAAAGGAAAGAGTCTCATCTCTAGATGTAAACCTCTCGAGACTCCGCACGCTATTCTCAGACTGTCTACCTGAACCAGACAGACCACCCACGCGGCCAGAGGGTAAACTTGGCCGCTCGGGGCAGCCTCGAAAGCCCAGCCAGCGAATGGCAGCTTTGGTGAAGGGCCCAGCATCCTTAGGATGCCCACTGAGACCGTAGGACGGCCGCCCTTGGTTATTAATCAATTAATCCATCAAGCGCTGCCTGCCGGCCTGCTTGGCACCTCCCCAGCCACTGGAGGGACAGCACTGTCATTTTTCACCTTTTTCTGAGCCAGAAACTGAATTTTGCACTTCACCGAATCTCCCGAAGTTTGAAAAGGAGAGAATTCTTTGAAGCCCAAAGCGGTTAGTCCATGAGCCCAAAGCCACATGACCCCCTGTGAACAGACACATGGGGGACAGGCACAAGGGCCACCCACTGAGGAGCTGGCAAGGCGCTGAGATGACAGCAGTGAGCAGGGAGCACCCCCACCCCCCGAGGGATCACGGCAGACTTCACGGAGCAGCAAGAAGGACAGTGAGAGCTGGCCAGGTGGGCGACACTAGGGGACAGCAAGGGCAAGGCCTGGGGCCCTCTGACTGGCCCAGGAGAACGGCCACATGTGTGTAAGGCAAAGAGTGAAGCAGGCAGCAGAGCCGTGTCCCTGGCGTGGGTGACTGAGGACTGCAGAGCCCTCGTGGGGACAGGGAGAGGGAGCCGGTGGGCAGTGTGGGTGGTGGGAGGGCTGTGCTAACCCTGCCCGGTCTCAGCCTCCAGCGCGGCCCAACCTCTCCCCCCGACCCCCGCCCCTGGAGCTCAGAAGCCAGGCAGGTCAGAGCCTGTCCAGGGCCCCCCTGGGTCCCAGTGCCAGGCCTGTCATGGAGACACAGTCCAGGTGGGGAAGTGGGGCACGCTCTCCAAGCTCCCTCAACCTCCAGGGCACTGGCCAAGCCAAGGGGATCTTAGCCCACGTAGGGCACAGTTTATCAGGATGACATCGAACTCAAGGACTAGGCCAGAGAAGGCGCTCAGACCTTCGGGGCGGGCTCCTCGGAGGACAGGCTGCAGACACCCCCACTGTCTACGCCACCCTTGTCCCTGTCACTGGGCCTCCCAGGCTTGGCAGGAGGGGAAGAGGAACCAGTTGCTCACCTGAGGCCAGGGGCGTGAGGAGCAGGAGGAGCAGAAGGAGCCAGACCTCCAGGGGCCTGGGCGTCCCCATCCTGGGCCAGCCTTGCCCGCACTGGCGGGAGCCCGCGGCTGCGGTTGTCCTCTGGTCCCAGGATCTCAGGGCCCTCCCTCCCCACCCTCCAGGGCAGTGTCAGAGCTTCCGGTGGCCTCTTTGTAACTCTTCCTGCTCCATGGCGCCATCGGGTGGGTTGTGAAAGGTGTGGGGAGCTGGGCGGTGCTCCTGCCTCACCCCATCCTGTGACCCCCTGCGGTGGGAGCCGCTGCACCCCCCCAGGGACCCCACGCCAGGGCCCCGCCCACCTGGCAGGGGCAGTGGGGCTGGGGTCCTCTGCACAGTGCACGGGGCAGACCGCGGGGCAGCTATTCTCAGACTGTCAGGCTTTGGAGTCAGGCACACCTCGCTCAGACCTTCCTCTCACCATCTGGGGCCCCCTGCACCTGTTTCCTCCTCTGTAAAGCACACAGCAATGGGCTGCCTCCCAGCACCGGCTCGGGGTCTGAGGAGGCCCACTCCACGCCGGGCACACAGCCTGGCTATAGGGATGAGGGTGAAGGCGAGGGTGACACTCACGGCCCCCTGCTCACGCCCATGGTTTGAACAAGGCCAGGCTCAAACCCATGCCTGCTGGGGGTCTGGGAGAAGAGAAGGAGCCAGGCGGGGGGCCCTGGCCCCGTCCCACCAGGCTGGAAAACAGGAAAGGCAGGATGGGAGGGGGCGGGGGACGGGACGAGGGCGTAGGCTCTGGGGGTCGGTCAGGCCGGGGCTGACGCCTGGCCCAGCTGGCTGGGCTTTCCGGAGCCGTCCGTGACGCTGGGCCTCCCACGGAGCACGTGGGGAGCCCACAAGGGGGAGCCTGTGGAACCACTTGGTCAGTTTGCACGGTGACTGTCATCACTATCATGTTCTGATTATCATTTGTGAAATTATTGCCATGGAGGCCCAGGCAGGAAGTCGGGCAGCAAACACACGGGGTGCGGCGTGAAGGAAGGGAGGGGCTGGCCCCTCGGGCTCCAACTCCGGGGGCCCCAAAGAAGCCTGCGGGCGAGGCCAGGGCCCCGGGCATGGTCCCACCGCCCCTTGGTCAGAAGGCAAAGGGCACCCCCACAAAAAGGTGGGTGTTGCCAGTAACCCCTGCAGCTCGCAGGCCCAGAGCGGGGCCTGCTTGGCTTTGGGGGTCTGGCGGGGGCCCGCCCAGCCCTGCCCGGCCTCTATTTCCACGCCTTCCCACACAGCGTCTGGACAGAACTCGGTCGCCTGCTGGGTCTGGGCCCAAGGGAGGCTGAGGAGGGAATGTTGGGGTCACTCACTGGGCAGAGGTGGCAGGCAGGGATCCAGCGCGGGCCCCAGGCCTCTGCCGGGACGGCTGGAATGACAGACGGGATCCATGGGGCCTGCCCCTCCTCTCCGTCCAGCAGCGCCACCCCCGACGGTGGACAGTGGCTCTGTGAATTGTCAACTGCTAAGCCTCCCCCCCCCCCCCGCAGAGCTGTCCTGACCCCCGGGCCCTCCGAGGGAGACAGGTCCCAGAGTGTTCCGCACACCTGGGAAGGCAGGAAACGTGGCAAGAGAGGGTCAGGGAGGGCCAGCGGGAGGACGACCTTTCCGAGGCCGCACGGACTCACCCGGAGCCACCTACAGAGCCCCGGGACCCTTAAATCCCAGCACAGACAGAGCAGTAGCTTCCCTTCTGCCACCTCCCACCCGGCGTGTGTGAAGGGCTGCAGGGGCTCCTGTCCCCAGGGGCAAGGCCTTGGGCCTCTGGCAGGCCCGCCCCACGTCCACCCCTTGGCCTGCTCCAACCCAGCCCCCACTCCGCAGGGATGTTTCCAGACATGAACTTGGTCATGTCCTGGAGGGAAGAGTGGCCCGGTTGCCCGAAGTCCCGTAGCCCAGGGAAGTGCATGAGAAGAGCCACCACGGTCAAGGTGTCTGGTGGCGCATCCAGGGCCTGTCACAAGAAGATGCAACCCGGGACCCCAGCCCCATTCTTTGAGCTGCCCTTGAAAACAGAAACTAGACGTTCAAGAGAGCTCTTTGAATTCTTCCAGAGAATTTATTTGAGGAAAGTACTGTGTCCCTGGGTGAGGGGGTGGGGCGCTGGGTCATTCTCTTCCCTCTGGGGATGGGGGGAGGTGCCCCCTCAGTTCTAGCCAAATGGTGGGGCTCTGGGAGGCCCTCTGGGGAGGCCGAGAGGTCTGTGAGAGGGGAGCTGCCTCTGATCGCACTAGCTGCCTAGTCCTCGGGAGTGGGAGGGAGGTGGAGGCAGAGGCCAGCGGAAGAGGCAGGAGTGGAGGAGGAGGGGTTGAGAGAGATGCCAGTGCGGGTCCCCAGAGAGCCACATTCACACTCCCCAGGGGCACTGCCAGTCTCCCCTGGGCTGCCAAGGTGGCTTTGCGCCCTCCCCTCCCCCCTCAGAGACCCATGAGTCCTCCCGGCCTGGGGCCCTGGGGCAGCCAGGAGCAGAGGAAGGAGGCTGTGGAGGGCGAAAGCGCGGATGCGCACGTGGCAGGCCTGCGCCGCCCCTGAAGCCTTGGGTGCAAACAGTAGTGATCAAAGCGACTGCTCTCAAGGAGGGAGAGAAGTGTGTGTGGCCACCTCGCCCCCATCACGGGACGGGGAGGGGAGACTTGACCGAAAAAGGCTTAAGGCAGTGATGGAAGCATAGTTCAGTCATTTCATTCCTGCAGCCCGCCCACCTCACACGGGTCAAGAAACTGGCTGCATATATCACGTGCTCAGTCGTGGGCTGAATTTGGCCCTCCAAGGTGACTTGGGCCAGCAACATTCTTTGGATTAGCCAAAATGTTAAAATGAAGGGATCTGACACACCACAATCTGCATTTCTCATTTCTCATAAAAGGCAGGCGGCCTGGCTTCATGCGCCCTCACCCCTGAAGGCAGTGGCCAGCTGCAGATGCGTAGCAGCCGCTCCCTCGGTGTGGGTTTGTCATTTCCCGCTGACCAGACTTCACCGGTCCCCACTGCCTCCCTAATACCCCCACCAAGTAGCCTGTTATCCTCCCCCTTGTAGATTTTTTTTCACACATGGTCCTCTACTCTCATTCATGTTTCCTAATTACGGACCAGCAATAGGAGCAGAAAAGACTGAGAAGGCAACCCTTCAAAATAGTTACATTGGTTCAGTGATGACAACAGCTAATTTTTATTTTCTTCTTTACACTCTTCTACAGTTGCCAAATTCTCTACAAAGAACACGTACTTATTTTTAATACCAAAGACAAAAGAATTAGTAATTAAAAAAGAAAATCCTCCCCATCTTTAAGGCTGAGATCTAGATCAAATACTGCCTCTTGCAGGAAGTCTTCCTGGATTCCCAGCCAGGCATATGGTGCCCCCAACCCAATGGCTGCAGCTCCAAGAGGTCTTGTCTTGCACATGCCTCACACACTAGACTGACAGTTCGCAGTGGGAGTGACCAGGCCTGGCCATCTGCGTTCAGAATTCACTGTGGTGGGCTCTGAGCCAGGGGAGCTATGTCTCAGTCTCCAGAGTGCTGGGGTGGAAACAAACTTAGTCTGCCATGCTCCCCGGTTGTTGCTACCAAAGGCCTATGGGAGAGGCTGAGGTCCCCTGAGAGGTACGGGCTTGGCAGTGGTGAGCAAGGGTGATGCAGCTTGTAGAGAGGCCCAGATGGACAAATGGACCTAGCCCGGAACACATATACGAAGCCTGAGTCAGGGGCCGGCAAAGGCCCGTACAGTAGGGAAAGGTTTACAGCAGGCACCAGGCAGTTCTTGGGAACTATGACCCAAAATACACCATTGGAATAGGCGACCCCGGGCTGGGAGAGCAGAGGGGAGGGGGTGGGCTGGGCTCAGAGGCAGGACAGCCGCTGCTCTGTGCTGTGGGGCGGGGGGCTCTCCTTCTCCAGCGGTCTGAAGCTCGGCCCCAACCCCTTTTGCCCTGAGTGCCACCCTTGGGTTAAAATGACAGTGGCTGCAAAGTACGCTCACGGTGGTCACCAGAAACAGCATAGCTATGGCACATTTCTGTTCCGGGTGAGGGCGCAGAACCAGAGGTGCTGCCGGGTCTCCCAGGTCCACGACCAGACTCCGAGGCCTGCGGGCTCCTAGCCCCCAGCCACGAGGGCTAAGCCCAGCGCCGCTAAGTGACAACCGGCCTTCAGCCTCAGGTTAGGGTGACCAGGAAAAAGGTCCCGCCACTCCAAAGCCCCTTGTGAGCTGAACTGAGCGTCGAGTGATTTGCGGCCCAATTCATAAGGCCCAGCCTGGGAGTCCGGCCGCTGTGGCAACAGCCCCAACCCTCTGAGGTCCTGGGGCCTTCTCAAGTCTCCGGCTGACCTGCCAGCAGCGAGGCCCAGCTGCAGGGGCCGCGAGCGATGGCGGGGAGAGGCCGCCTCTCTGCTCCCTCGCACCGGGTGGATGGCTGCCGGCCTAGATGCAGCTGGACGAGGTGCTGCCCGAGGTGATGGGGAGCCTGGTGCTGTCTGAGTTGCTCTTCAGAGGGGTGGGCCCGCCCTGGGCCTGCAGCCGCATGGACCAGTACCAGAGGAAGATGAGGAAGCCTGCGGGTAGCCAGGGACACAGAGCTCAGCAGGCTGGCGGCAGTCCCCCCACCCCCACGCTTTTCCCTCCCAGAGTCGCCTTGACTCCGCTCTGCCCCTGCCCTCCCTTCCACACAGGCTACACCAAGGTGCCCGGGGCGCCCACGACATGCCAGGCCCCGGGCGATTCGCGGTGGGCCCTCTCACTTTGCTCTCTTGACACTCCTACAAGGCCAGGCCCATTCAGTGCCACGCTGTGTTACAAAGGAGGAAACTGAGGCCCAGGCCGGTCGGGGACTTGGCTGAGCTGGGAATCAAATGACAGTGGCTGGGCTCTGGAGACTATCCACTTAATCACTCGCTATCACCCATTCAATATCACTCTTCTCCAAATAATTATACTGTGATTTATTAACAGCCCAGTAAATGTGTGGATTTATGGGCATCACTTATAATCCTTACAGAGTCCCCTTCATGTCACAGGCGAGAAAGAAAGACTGGCCTCTCACTCCCAATGCTCATCCTATGGAGACCCCGTGTGGAAGGCCAGCCTCACGGCCCCTGTGTGGCCCTAGGCCTGGCCATGCCTTCCCTGCCTTGCTGCCCAAGTCCGCCTCCCCACCCACTTCTTCCAGGGACAGAGGCATGTGTGCGTGAGTGTGTGTGAGCGATGGGGGGAGGGGGGGCAGTCGCGGAGGGCTGCAGGTAGAGCGGAAAGGGGCCCTTCTGTCCTCAAGTTAGGCGCTCCGCTCCTCCCTCCACCCTCCTCCAGCCTCTCTGTCCCCACTTACTACGCCTCAGCCCCATTCAGCCTCACGGTTCTTCCAACACACCAACAGCTCCAGCCTCAGGGCTTTTGCTCTTGCTTCTGTGGCTGCCTGGGGCGCTCCTCGCCCCGGCGGGGTCTCCCCAGTCCGCAGTGTGCCCCTGAGCCCCTGGGCATGTGCTACAAGGTGGATTCTGACTCAGGGGGTCTGGGGCGGGGCAGAGTCCACATGTCTAACCAGCCCTGTGCTGATGCTGCTGGTTCGCGGAACACACTCGAGTAACGAAGCCCTTGCTCTCCCCCTGGCTGGATCCTCCTGTTGCCTTCAAATGTCTCATATGCAGAAGTCGCCCTGGCCACCCTCCGCAGCCCAGACTGTCCATCACTATTACTCCCTGCTCTCCAAGATCCCCTTTGAAGGCTGCCTGCTGCTTGTCACCCCGTCTCCCCTACGAGAGACGAAGCAAGGCCATCACCTAACCAGCTCACAGTGGTAGCCCCAGCGCCTAGCTCGAGGCCTGCCGAGGGTAGGTTCTCAATACCAACCTGTTGACTGCGGCCCGGATGATGCTCCCATCTTATGAATGGGGAAACTGAGGCCCAGGGAAGGGTTGCCTGGGTCATCTACTCCCTGCCCTGCGCTCCAGGTATGGGCAGCCTGCGTGGCCATGCCTACCTTGGAAGGAGGTGATGATGCTGAAGAAGTAGAGGACAACGAGCTGGAAGGTGCCGGAAGCAAAGGAGAAGAAGATCAAGGCCCAGGGCAGGCCGAGGACCAGGCTGAGGCCGAGCAGGGTCAGCACGTGGGGCCACTTCTCGGTGTGCGGACGCAGCCGCAGGATCTGCACCACCATGGTGGCCAGCATGGCCGTGTTGAACAGAAACACGAGGCTGAAGAGGCCCAGGTTGGTGATGTGGCTGACCAGGGAGTCCCGGATCCAGCACCTGGGGGCCAGGGCAGGAGGGCTCAGAGAAGGGTGGCCCGGGCGTGGCCGGGCTGGCACGGGGCGTTAGAAGGTCACTAACTTTCGACACCTAGGCCCCCTCTTCTCCGCTCTCCTGTGTTCCTCCTCTGTCGTCAAAGGGGAGGCTCAGCTTGGTGCTAAGGTGTTTTTAACGCCCCAAACACTTGCTGGTCTCCATTTGCAACACAGAGCCAGCCTCCGGGTCACAGCCTTCGGCCCGCACTTAGCAGCAGCGTGGCCCAGCCCCCTGTTTATTTTTATAATTACTCGCTTTTTGACAGTGATGCTGGTTTCCGATTTGTAGCTGATACCATAGTTTTTTAAAATATATTTAAATTACCGCGTTAGACAACTTAAGAACAATGTGAAGCAAGTAATAATATCGATGGTACCACGGTGAAGTGCCCGAGACCCAAATCCCTGCCCTCACCGCACACCGCCACTCACATGGAAGGGTAGATGACGCTCTCTGGAGTCTTGTGCACAGAAAGGATGATGGAGCCATAGTTGTTAATGTCCACCAGTGCCACCAACGTCACCAGGAAGATGGGGAAGCCTGGGGACAGCAAAGCGTGGAGCTCCATCTCCCACCCTGGGAGGCTCACCCCTCCCCCGCCCTCTAGAGAGAACCTCTCTCAGGCCAATACCCCGGAGCCACCCAGTCCCGCCTGGGGAAGGTCCTCCAAGCTTGGACCCTCCTCTTCCCCGCTGCAGTGTGGGTGTCCACAGAGGAAGCCCAGTCTCCCGACCTTACCCCTGCCCCCTCACCGTCCTGGGGGCCCTTAGGAGAAAAGACCTGCAGGTCCGTGCTGAGGGGCTGGACACCACAAGGAAAATGGGAGAAGCAACCATGACTCTGGCAGGGTGGGGGACAATTCAAAGGGAGATCCGGACTTGTGTCCCCTGGGGATGTCTGCCCTGGCCTTGACCTTGTCCATGAGGTGGCGATGGAGAGCTCCCTGCGGGGCTCGCCTACCACCAACACCTGGGTCGTGGCACAGAGCCACCTCTGAAGGGACGCCATGTAAGTCACGGAGTGGGCCAAGAAGAGGCCGAGTGAGAACCACAGGAGAAGCAGCGAGTTGGGTCAGAGACGTGAGGAGGTCGGTGTGCCCACGCCATTTACAAAGGGCTTGCAGCGCGTGCCCCTGGGCCTCCAGATCTGACATGCGCGAGGCCTGGGCCAGGAGGGCATTGGGGGTTGTCACTGGCTGAGAACAAATGCCAGAGGCATGGAGTCTCTTACCAGAGATTCAGGGGGACACGCAGGCAGGGCCACCGCTAGCTGGGGGAATTAGGAGAGTGGAAGACCGGACTACAGCCCCCCTCATCCCCGAACTGAGTGCCTCTGAGCAGTGCGCAGCCTGCAGGTCCGCATGTGGTCGCTCTGCCTGCAAACTTCCCTTGCGGAGGAGTGAGTGACGCGGAGAATATATAAGTGTTTCTTGGAGACAGGGCTCATTGCCTCACCTTCCTAAAGGGGACCTTGACCTAATCAAGGTAAAGACCATTGAGCACGGGGTAGGGGAGAAGGAAGCAGTGAGAGAGGGAGGTGGAGAGGCAGAGCGGGTGCTGTGTCGGGCCAGAAGCCAAAGCGGGTCTGGGCGCCCATGCACACCCTCCACCGACTTACCCCAGCCCACGATGCTCAGCTTGAGCAGGTAGCCAGGGACGTAGGTCCCAAAGACTTCAACCACAAGGCGGTAGAGGTTGTAGCCCTCAAGGCCCATCCAGGAGAGGCAGGCGAGCAGGGAGAAGTGCAGGAAGATGGCGCTGGCGCGGCAGCCGGCCTCGGAGCCTGTCAGCGCGACCGGCTCGCTGAGCAGGAAGCTCACATCCAGCAGGAAGACAGCCAGCAGCAGGTTCATGTGCACCTTGATGGTGTAATCCCGAGTCTTCCTCCTGCGTGGGGGGTGGGAGGGCAAGGGGGAAGGGTTATCCTGTGACCAGTGGGGGAAGGAAAGTGAGTACCTGTTCCTCCTCCTCCAGGCAGCCTTCTCAGGCTACACACACACACACACATACACACACACACACACACACACACACTCCTATGGCTGCAGCCAGGCTGCTCCCCGTTCCACTTGTCCCTGTGCACCTATGTGCCCAGCACCCACGGGCACATAGCAGCTTTAGCCAGACAGAGCAAAATAAACAAGTCAGCCGCTACAATCAAGCAGATGTTCCCAAAATCGGAGGGGAGAGGCTTTGGATTTGTTGTTGGCTTGGAGAATCCAGGCCTCCTATGCTGTGTTCACCAGTCTGCACAACTGTGTGTCTGTGAGCCTGTGACCATGGGGTGTGGGAGTCTGTGTGTCTTCAGGTTTGCAAGTCTGTATCTGCACATCCCAGGCCCAGCCCCAGCCCAGGACTCTACTTGATCCAGGGCCTGGCAGGCCTTTCCCACCCTCTCCCCACCCCCACCCCCACTGCCACGCCCCAGCCCTGCTCTGCCCGCACCATCCACTGCCTCTCCCAGAGGGCACAGCAGAACACTCAGGCCCCAGGGTCCCCGTCCTGGACCCCCACGGCCGCCCCGCCCCGCCCCGCCTCGGGCTGCCCCTCCCCCCTCAGTTTACTCAACCATGGAGAGGGAGCATGGCCCCCCGCACAGGGCCGGGGCGAGGGTTACACTAATACAAAGTGTCCGGCCCAGGTAAGAAGCTCAGGCCCTAAGGCTTCCTGTCCCTGTGTCCTCGGGTACATTTGTGACCAACGGGTAGGTGCTGGGGGGCTTGTGGCCCTGTCCCCAGCCTTCCACTGAGCCTGCCTGCTGGCCCTCCCCATCAGCGACTCCAGCCCCACCATGTGCGCAGCTGTGGGCACACATGGCGCAACCTCTTATGTACACGCATGTGCACGGCTCCCTCCTCCCAGTCGATGACAGTGAGTACCCTCCCGTGTCCCACAGAGCAAACGGTGTCTCCCCTCTAGCCAAAGGCACCCAGGCCCTGACTGCAGGTGGCCCTCAACTCAGGCCTTGCCCAGCACTGACAATCCAGAGCCCCACACACAGCGGGTCTGAGGGTGGGTGAAGGCATTCTCTCCACCCAAGGCTTCCCATGGAGCTTCTTCCTTCCTCAGACGCCCAGAGGACGGGGGCGGCAGAGCCTCCATGGGGAAAGGTCAAACTCAAACGCTTGGGAGGGATCAGACCTCAAAACAGACACTAGAGAAGGGGGCGGGGCGGCCACTTAGCTCCGGTGATGGAGGCCTGGGGGACCTGGAGCCCGCCTGCTTGGGTTCTACCACTTCCCTGTTGCATGACCTCAGGCAAGTCTCTCACCCTCTCTGAGCTCCCTTGCATAGGGCCCTTGAGAGGCTGAGCCAAGTTCAGCCACGGAAAACACTGGCAACAGTGCATGGCATGCAGGAAGCTTGATGTGTCAATTAGTATCATTAGTATCATCACATTAAACGTGCCCCTCGCGGCACCATGCCTGATGACTCAAAGGCAGAAATCTAGAGTCTTATGCTAATTCTCCCAATTGTCAATGTTGGCAGTTAACAGAGTTGGCAGATGCTGTCACCCAAACATCGCGGATCCGAGGAGGAGACGCAGCCCCCAGGGCTTGCCGCCGGAACCTCCCACGGCCCCCACGGCCTCACGCATCCCGGCCAGTGCTGCCAGTCTCCAGGGCAGGCCTCCCCAGTGGAGGGGTCCTTCCCCTCTGCCCTCCGGTCCCTCCCCGGTCCTACCTGGAGCAGAGGTAGGCGGCAATGGCGAGGACACAGGCCAGGGCAGAGATGACACAGCCCACGTAGGAGAGGAGGGTCAGGTAGTGCTTGTGCACGGCGTCCACCTCCATGGAGGCCACCTGGGTCCACAAGATGGGTCAGGGCTGGCCTCAGGGTCCCCCAGATGCAGGGCGAACCTGTGGTCCCTGGGCAGGCCTCGGGAGTCTACAGATCCCTCCCTGAACTGAGCAGACTGTGGCCCGTGAGCGCCTTTTTCTTATGGGAGGGGTGTCTATGGCTTCCACCACATTCTCCAGTGGGTCCCAGACCCACACAGGTCAAGAACCCTCACCTGATAACCCTCGTCTGTCCTGGTGCTGATTATTTTTCTACAACATTCAACACAGGATTAAGTTTCCTGTGGGGAGAAAGTACCCACACCCAGGAAGAGCTGAAGGCCACTCGGGTCCCTCAGAGGCTGGGCCTAAGATTCTGGAAACATGAGCCTGGGGCACAAAGCTTCTAAGGTTACAGGGGCACTGATGCCCACCTCTAGGGCCGCGGTGCCTGTTCATGGGCTCCTTAGAAACACATTCCTGGCCCCGCCCCAGGCTTGTGGAGTCAGAATTCCTGGTTAGGGCGGGAATCTACCCTGTTATCGTGCATCAAAACTTGACAATCCACAGCAAGGGCTTTGGAGGCCAGCTCTTTTACTTATTAGCTGTGTGACTTCGGGTAGATTGCTTAACCTCTCTGAGCCTCCGTTTCATTATCTATGAGATGGGAGGACAGCAGGAGCCACCTTGGGGCTTGTTGGGAGGAATGCAGGACACGCGGCCTGAGAAGCGGCCAGCACACTGCAAGACCCCGGCCCGCCGTAGGGCCGTGGGGCAGGAGGGGCCCGCTCACCATCAGGACTGCAAAGTAGGTCAGGTGGTTGCAGAGGCAGGAGGTCTGCGTTTCTCTGCGGACGGTCTCACACCCGGCGCTGCTCCAGCTCCCTGGGCCACTCACTGAGGAGGGGAGAGCAGGGGTTTCTGTCCAGCCCGGCCCCCCAGGACCCCACCATACCCCCCAAATGCATGATGGTAGCACCCTGCTGAGCCTTTGCTCCCCCTGGCAGCTCCCTCACCTGCCATTGCTCCTTCTTCAAAGCCCCCCTTTCTCCAGGAAGCCCTCGCTGCTTGACCCCACGTCCCCCACCCTCCAGGACCCCTTCCTCCTCCAGACACCTGCCCAGTACAGGGACCTCCACACTCACATGCCGGATCTTCAACCCAGAATACACACTGGAGAGTCACGTTCTTCTGTAGGGACAAGAAGGCAGAGGGGATCCCGTTACAGCCCACCCCGTCACGGGCCAGACCGAGGAAGTCGGTGTCAGGCCACCACCCCATTTGGACCGACTGGCTGCTACCCTCCACCAGCCGCTCAATCCTTTTGTTAAACATTAGTGATTCAGAAGAGGCGGGAGGGAAGGGAAACATGGCCATAAGAGACCGTCGTCTCCTCGGCTGGTTTGCTTACACTCACCGGCTGCGGCTGGTGCTGGAAGGTGAGCACCACGGGCTCCGAGAGGTTAGCCACTTCGGTCTTGGGCACGACAATACCCAAGACCTTCTCGCCCAGCACTTGGCTAGAATTCTTGTCCTAGACATACGGGGTTGGGGGAGAGAGTAGGGAGGGGGCTCAGGGCTGAGGAGAAAGGCCCAGAAGTCCCCCAGGTTCCCCAGGCTCCTGTCTCTGAGATGCTGGGTCTCCCTCTGGAAACAGTTATTGCCCATGTAGTCATTTACACTGCAGTGAGAACAATACCATTTAGCTCTTTCCTGACTTTGCACGGAAAGGCTCTGACTCCTGAAGGAGGGAGCTGGGCTCCATGCCTTCCCTCCATCTTTCCATCAGACAGACGCTGCTTTCCCTGGGGGTGGGCGAGGCACCAGGATGAGGGCCCCATACCTGGAACAGGGCTTGGCTGCTGAAGTCCACCAGGAGGAGTCTCTTGGCAGCCTCGTCCCGCCGGCCTTTAGTCTTCTGGAAAAGCATGCGGGGCAGCAGCACCGAGTACTCCAGGATCTCACTCTGCTCCTCCTGCAGGCCAGGGTGCCATCGGGGCTCAGCCAGAGACCCCCCCGCCCCGCCCCCACACACCGGCCCAGATGCTGCTGTCTCCAAGCACGCCCCCTTCAGGAAGCCATGCCTCGCTCGCAACAGCGCTTGTCACCCCTTCCTTCGCTGGGCGCCAGCATTAGCTGGGGAGCTCTGTGGTTAGAGCCCAGGGCCCCAGGGGCGGACAGCCTGGGAAAATCACAGTGTAGACTGTTGTCTGGGCTGCCTACAGCATCTTGGTGTGGTGGGGTACGTACAGGTGGCGCCCAGCTCACCAGGCCAACTCAAGAGGTGGTCTCAAGCCTGGGGCACATGCACAGGCATTTTGGGGTTGGTCTCCTCTTCACATGGGTGTGCCACAGGAGCCCCTAGTGCAGGGAGGAGGTCCTCCCCTGCCCCCATCATTGTGCCAGGAAGGGTCCTCAGGGCCACGGAGCAGCCACTGACTGAGGGTATTCTTTGGACCTGGCTCCTTCCTCATCAGCACACATCTGGCCCTGGGAGGCCAGGGAGGGGCGTGCTCACGGCCTTCACATCTGCTTCCTGCCCTGGCCTGTCCGATCCCGAGCTCTGACCTCCTTCCCAGAGTGGATGTACAGGTCCTGGAGGCCGGCTGTGGGCTGGAGCTTCCACACAGTGGCGTTGACCCGATCTTCCTTGAAGGACATGGCGTCCCCTGTGAACCTCAAGGTGGTCAGCTTTGACTCCAGGTTCTGCAGCTGCCTGGCAGGGGGAAGAGAGGGTGGGTGTCTGCTGGGGACGGATCTGGGCTGCGAGCGGGAGCCAGAGGCGAGGAGAGACTGGGGCAGATATGCAGGAAAGAGGCATGCAGAGAGACGAGGCAGGAAAGAGGGTCAGGGGAGAGACGAGGGGGCAGGAGAGACAAATGGCCCAACCAGTGTGGGACCGAGAGAATGACCTGCAGAGGGAAAGGGGAAGCAGGAGCATCCCGGCAAACAGGAAAGGAGGGGTGTGGGGAAGGGCCTATCCTGGGCCCAGTTCTGCCTGGACTGACCGGCTCTGTGGCCACGGACCCGCCCTAACCACCTCTGGGCTGCAGCCTGGCGAGCTGTAAAATGGCCCCTCCTTTGCTGCTGGGGAGAGGGCTCGGGCGTGTGTTTGGGGGGCAGCAGGAGCCGCAGCGACCTGTGCTGACTGGGGCGGGCGGGCAGCTGTGGGGCTTGGCCTGCAGGCTACATTCCGAGGCCGCCGGGGGAGGCGGAAAGGCCAGCAGAGCACGCCAGCCCCAGGAAGGCGTCCGCCCTGGCCGCGACTCCAGTCCCCTGGCTCGCCCAGGTCCAGACCTGGGAGTGCCTCTCCCCGACCCGCACCCCCCACTAAGAGCCACACTCACTGGCCAGCGTGGGCGGCCGAGGGCCTCCTGGAGTTCTTCCTGGGAGTCTTCAGGAACTGGCTGAGCAGCTGGAGGTCCCGTTTCAGCTCGCACATGTGCACCAAGGAGACATTGTGGGAGGCCTTCTGGGGAGGACCTGGGGGGACAGACAGGCCACCGAAGGCTCTTGGTTGAAGGTCTGTGCCACACTCATGAGCCTCTCAATCCTCCCCTGACTCTGCAAGATTTGTTCCTATTTTATGGAAGAGGTGGGGTGGACTCCCCAAAGTCACTCAGAGATGCAGCCAGCCAGACAGGGGCTCTGTCACATGGAACCTCCAGCAACTGAAGGCCCAGCAGGGGGACATGGGACACACGCCCCCAGATGCCCTTCTGAGTACACACAGGAGACAGGGGAGCCCTTCCAAGGCCCTGGCCCAGCCAAGCTCCCTTCAAGAGGGACTGGGGGCTCGTGCGGCAGCTCTGGAGACTCCACACCCCCAGCCGCCCTGAGCCCAGCTTCCAGGCCCGCCACCGGGAGACCCTGCACCCCAGGACTGTAAGCTTGGGTGTCCATAGTGGTCAGATGAGACTCTGATGAGGTAGGCAGATGGGGACAGATACATGTTGGGGAGTGGGGGGCCCTGGGTAGCCACATCTGAGTTTATACGGAGAAAACTTGATTTTTAAGTGATCTGAAACCTTTGGCTCATGTTTTTATTTAAAAACCTCTTTATAGGCCTAATAAGACCAGGCCAGGTCTGTTCTTCAGGATGATGATTTGCAGCAGGGCCTGACTTTGTCCTAAACCCCCCCAGTCTGGGGCAGAATCCCACGCTGGGGGTGAGGTACCCCCTCGCAGCCCTGCCCGCTGCACTGGACGGCACCTGGGCCAGACGCCGGCCCGCTGCTGCTGCCCCCTGCCCCCTGCTTTCTCATGGGCCTGGAGCTGCTAACAACTACTCAAAGTGTGGTGCCCCCCACCCTCTACCCCCCGGAAACTCCCACCGCAAACTGGAGTCTGCCTTGGAGGAACAGAACTGGGAAAATCCTAGACCTGCCCCCCCAATAAAGCCTCCAGCTCCTGCTAGCCACCCTCTCCTCCCTGCCCCCACCCAGCACTTAACGGGAGACAGGGGCCACGTCACACCTCTCACGTCCGAGGCAGCGCACACTGTCTTCGTCCCTTGGGGTCAGTCTCACTGTGATCCTGAACTTTGACCTCTCTGGCTCTTCCCCACCCCACCCCTGCCCATCAGCTGCTGGGCGCATGTCTTGGTTCCCTCACTTACTAGCTGTGCAACTTTGTGCCTCTCTGGGCCTCAATTTGCCCTTCTGTGAAATGGGGACAAACAACCTATGATGATGATGATGATGATGATGATGATGAAGCAGAATTTTTCCTCTGGCTCCTGACAGCTAGTCCCTTCTTTCCATCTTCCCTGTTCCCACACTGCCCAGTCCCCATCTCCCTTCACCTGGACCTATCCTGCAGCCTCTGGAGGGGACTTTGCCCCCTCCACCCTCACCCCTACCCTCCCACACAGCTGCTGAAGCACACCTTGGGCCACACTCTCCCCTTCCTCAGACACCTTCAGTGGCTCCCACTGCCTGTGAGCACAGACCAAGCTCCACCTGCGAACGGCCCGTTCAGACACTGTCTTCCTGCATTCTCCTGCCTTCCCTGCCTCAGGGCCTTTGCCCAAGCTCTTCCTCCCGCCTGGCTTACTGTGGAAGGAGAAGGTGAAGCCGGCCGCACTGGGCAGGCTGGTGTTCTGGGGGCTCCACCAGGACTTGACAGAGGTGGCCAGCATCCGGGGGCCCTGGGCCAGGCTCTCTTGCTGGTTCCAGAAGCACAGGAGGTCAGAGGCTTGGTCACTCAGCAAGAAGTCGTTCTTGCCGTAGCGAAGGTGCAATTTCCCAGCATGGCGGTTCCAGTAGAGGCAGAAATGGTAGAGGCCCCGGGGGCCCGGGAAGGCTTGGGAAGCTGGGGAGGCTGCAGGGAAGGGGGCGTGGACTGTGAGGGCCGCCTCGGAGTTCTCGATGGAGATGTGCAGCTCTGTCGACTGATTGTAATGGAGGGCACTCTTCTGCGTCTGGTTCCGCTGGCCGCAGAAGCGGAAGTCTTCCCGGAAGCCCCCACCATGGACACCTGCGGAGGCAGAGACCGCAGGTGAGACCCTGGGGCAGAAGCCACGGGAGAGGGGCAGGCCCAGCGCACAGGAGCCCAGAGCCTGGGACCCACACACACTTCAAAGGCCTGTACCTCAGAGGGCCTACAAACACTTGAGTCTACCCCCATCAAAAATAACTGGTTTCAAAATATGACAAGAACAAACTCAAAATTAGTAACAACTTCAAAGGCAAAACATTCTCAGATAGCAATAGGGTATTTAATTAGCCAAGCCTGCTGTGGACCGTTGTGCAGGCCGCGCACGGCACAAGGATGTGCTGGTTTGGGGGTGAGTGAGGCCGAAAGCCAGCCCCTGCTACCCACCCCAAACGGTGCACGCGGGCACGACATCTGCCTGGGGTAAAAATGGGTGCCCTTCTCGTTTCTCCACCTGCTATGCTGTGTCTGCCAGCCTGTGCCTGCCCAGAGGGGCGAGCAGCTGTCCTGCCGCCGTCCTGGGCATGGGGCCCGGGAACATGAGTCCCAGGAAAGCCTACCTTGAACCAGGAGGAGCGGACCCAGCAGGAGCAGCACTGTGTGCACCAGCCCTTGGCCAGCCATCTTCCTCCTTAGAAGTCACTCTGAGAAGTCACTGCCTGCAAAACGCCAGAAGTGTGGGTCAGCAGCCTGCCCCACAGAGGGCCAGCCCTGCACAGGGGACGGCCAGCGTAGCATGTGGGATGTGAGGTGGCGGGGGGCAAGTGTGGAAACAGTCCGTGGACCGCCCCAGACCTGCCCGAAGCTGAGCATCAAGAGGCGGTGGCTGTCCAGAGCCTGGCCACGTTCATTTCCTGGCTCCACCTCTTGCTTGCCGCATGTCCCTGGATAAGTCACAGAAATGGGGTCCAATAATTGTACCTCCCTCTGGACCCAGCGGTGATAGGTTAATCTTAGAATCTGGTGAGGAAGGCTCCCCAGCACCATCTGGAACCACCGTGCCTGCTCCAGGCCTCGGTGGGACACAGGAGAAAGGGGGCTCTCAGAGGTCTCCCCTGGAACCTCACTATCACCATCCCTGAGATGCAGCTCAGAGGACACCTCCTCCAGGAAGCCTTCCTCAAGTCCCTCTGTTGGGAGTCCTGGCCTCCTTTTGTTCCCACCGCTGGCCAGGGTCCCCTCTGTTAGCCTCCCAGGAAGGTGCTGGATGGTGCATTCCCTCCTCAGCCAGCCAGGGAGCGTCCTCCTGATCCATCTCTGTGGACAGGGCTTAGAGCAGGGGGGCTGCTGGACCAAGACTGGGCAGGTGAACATGTGAAGGAGGAAGAATGAACGATCAGCGTGCTCATGGCGCCCTCTACAGGGGCCGGAGTGGAAAGGCGCTTCCCACTATGACCACCAAGGGGAGCCAATTTCCCGGGGTTTGGGGCAGCTGGATCGGCAATGGGATGTCCAGATCTGGCGGGGAGACGCTCACCTTACCGCCCAAGTAGAGGGTGGCCCAGCTACCCTCACCTCCACTTGCACTCCAGCGTAGAGGAGGATCTTCTGACCCCCCATAGCCTCTATGAGCTGAGCACCGACTAACTACCAGGCAGTGCTCTCTCACCCCGCCCTCAGACCAGTGTTAACTCTCGCTCCAGCCCCAGGAAGCGGGCTGTACTGAGGTCCACGCGTTAAATGGCTTGCCTAGCACTACCCCAGAGCCCAGTTTTCCCTGCCTGGTCAGAACTGCAGTGCCTGGCAGGGGACCTGTGTGCCTAGCACTCATAGAAAGATGCTGGGTAGCTTGGTCCTCCCCCCTCCCACCTGGCCCTGTGACCAAGCCAGGTGGTGACAGATGCAGACAGGTATCCTCATCCTGTGGGGAGCTGCATACGGTCATGGTGACAGATGCAATCATCTGCCACAAGCCAGACAAAGGGCAGCTTGGCAAGCTAGGGGCATTCAACCAAGGAGGGCTTCCAGGAAGAGGTGGCTTTTGGAGGAACTATTTGAGGGTAGTATTGAAGGTAGGGGTAACCCAGGCAGGAAGTCATTGTGCCCTGCCTTGGCCGAGCCTTTGTCAAACTAACCTGGCCCCCTCAAGTTGGAGCCAGTCTCATATGTCCTACCATGTGTAATGGAACCCTAATTTCTTGGGCCTCGTAAGTCCCATCATTGGTCAGCCGGGCTTATCAGCCTGCTCCGGTGGCATCACAGGACAGCTTGGGGAAAGCATGTGAACGTGTTTTAGGGAATCGCCCCTGTTCCCTAGGTTGTGATTTTGAAGGATTTACTCTGTGGCCTCTCTGAGCATTTTGGTTCCTTTGGAAACTGCCTTCTTCCAGCCAGACCAGCAGAAGGAAACCCAGCATCCGGGGCATAAATATGTCCCTCCTGCACCCCATCTTTCCTTCTCCTTTCTGCCAGGCTCTGCTGCTGTCTACCTCAGACTCCCAACCCAAATGTCACCTCTCCCAGCCTCCCCCCACTCCACCACTTGCTGTAACGACTACTCTACGCTTGTGAGCTTGTAGCTCACAGATCACTTTGAGAATTGGCTTTTAGATTTGAGGTCTAGGGAGGACCAATGACATGACACAGCAAGCGAGGGTGGAGCTGGCCGGGATGTGCATATCTCTCGGGCAGGCTGACCTCCAAAGTGAGTCACCACTGTCAGTAGACAAGGTGCCAGGAAAGGGTAGAATTATCCTTCACATCCACCCTCCTGGGTTGGCCTTTGAGAGCAAAAAGGCAGAGCCAGAGAGTGAGCTCCCCATCACTGGAGGGGCACAAGAGGGGCTATACCACCATGGTGTGCCATGAAAGAAACTCAAACACAGACAAGGAAGTGCTTAACTGCACGAGCCTGACACTTCCTGGCTCATCCCCACTCTACCCTGGCTGTTTGAGCAGCCACTCCAAGGTGGACAACTCTGTCCCCATGGACGGTCTTGGGCTGTGATGGGGCGGGGGCGGGGGGAGGCCGCCTGGCTTCCTTTAATCATCTTCAGTAGGGTAGGTTCTGGAGTCAGACTACATGGGTTTAAATCCCAGTTCCCCCAGTCACTAGCTGCGTGTCCTTGGGCTAGTTCCTCACCTTCTCTGGACCTCACTCTCCTCATCTATAAATAGGACTAACAAGCCCACCACTCATTGTGAGAATTAAATGAATTGAAGCCCATAAAGACGTGAGAACAGGGCTATGCATGCAGTAGGTGTCACCTGTGTCAGCTAAATATCTCTGTGCACTTTCCGACCAGCTCATGCCTGCCCCTGTCCCAGACCCTCACTGCTTCTGCACACCCCCCCCCGCCCCGCCCCACCCGTGCCTGGCCCTCCTGGCCTCCCGGCCAACTCACCCTCTGCAGCACCTTGCCGGGAAATTCTTAGAGCATGAAACTTCCTTTCCGGGAGTGCTATGGAAAGGCGGAGACCCCACCCAGAAAAGTTCCCTACTTGCTGTCCTTCCGGACCTGGGGCTGTCCGCAGAACCTTCCAAGGGACCAAGGAGCAGGCTGGGGACCAGGAGGGGATTCCAACCTGGATCAGGCAGGGGGAGGGCACTGTCCCATTTGTGCGCTTGGCGCTTCCCCCAGCCCCCCACACTCTAGCCCTTCCCATTGCCCATCCCACCTGCCACCCCATGGAGCCCCCTCGGAGGGTGCAGCCAGTCTCAGTAATGGAGGTGACACACTCCCAGCACCTCCAGCAGGTGGTGAGGGGGCCTGTGCTCTGAAGGCTGAACCCCGTGCGTGAACCTCCGCACGGACCACGTGGCCAGAGCCAGGTCCCTGGTCTCTGGAGCTGTGGACCCACAGAGCTGGGCGGACCTGGGCCATCAAACACCCTTAGAGCCAACCTCTGATCCCCAGGCGGACCCTCCTGGAACCTCACCCAGCACACTGGCCAGAGCTGGGGAGGGGCTGAGGAGAGTCTCACGACAGCGCCTCAATGGTGACAGCAGCAGCACCCTCTACGTTGTCACGAGAAATCCGCCAGGGCCCCTGCCAGGCTGGTCCTACAGCTTTGCCATTTTACAGATGAGGAGACTGAGGCGAGGGAAGGGCTCTTTGTTCCATGGAGGGGAGTCACGGAGGGGACCCGGGTCTCACTCAAGAGGACGCCTTGCAGACCTGCTGCTGGCAAAGCTCCCCAAAGTGCGCACTCCCCTGGCTTGGAGGATCCCCAAAGAAAAGCGGAGAAAAGGAGGTGGGGAGGGGGTGCAGCACAGGCTGTGCCGGTAGCTCCCCCCCCGGGAGAGAGGGTTTGGGGGCCTAGCCCCCCAGGAGCCCCGCCCGCGGCTCCCCTGCCACAGCAGCTGCCCTTGACGTCAGGCTTTCCGTAAACACACGGAGAGAACAGAACGGCCCGGCCCGGCCCGGCCCAGCTTGACACAATGGGGGCCACCTCACAGGGTCCCTGAGGATCCGGGCTTGTCTGGGCCCAGGGGAAGGGGCTCTGCTCCAGCTCAGGCCAGCCCTGCTGGCCTCATGGTGACGGAGGGGACCAAGGGCAGGATGCCAGCACCTCACTTTCTCCCCGGGGGGCCTGAGTCACTTCCTCTGCCAACCATGCGCAGCCACATGTCACCGGAGCCCAGCCCAGGCTCCTGGAAAAGCCATTTCCGCAGAGGATGGAGGTGGGAGTTGAGTGGCCAGGACCTGGGCGGCTCTGGAGTTAACCCGTCCCGGACAGGAAGGTGTCCCAGGCCCGGTCCCCGACTCCTGCCCTCTCCTTCCCTCTACACACACTGTGGACCACGCCCTGCCTTGTGTGCCTCTGCCAGGGACGCCTTTCCCATCCCTGGGACAAGTCCCTTAAGACACACCCTCTCCTTGAAGCTCTACATAACCTCCCATCCCCCATCAGAATTAACTTCTGATTTCTTAGAGTCAGGGGAGCGGTTCCCATGGCCCACACTTATCCTTGTATGCATGTCCCCCATCATCAAAGAATTCACATCAGGGGTACCCAGACCTGCCAGTGGGGGGAAGGTCCGACCCCACCCCAGGAGTTGACCAAAATGCACTTTCACAGGCCTTGCACACTGAGGGTAGGACACAGCACATCTAGGGTGGGACCAGGGATCTTTAACAAGCGTCCCCTTGACTGACACGCCGCAGGCTTGGGAACCACTGGGTGACAAGCCTGGGATAAAACCAGCAGCCCTATTTTACAGAGAGAGTCAGGGAAGGGTGGGGCTTGGCCCCAGATCACTCAACTGGCAAACGGCAGAGCCTGGATGAGGGGGCCAGGCAACCTGTGCCCGGCGGAGCCCCTGCTCAGTCTGGGGGTGATGACGTGTCATGCTTTCTGGAGCCTAGAAGAAGCCTCCCTCCCGAAGGCAGCTGGCGGAAGGAGGACGTGGATGGTGAGAAGGCCAAGGGCAGAGGGACCCCTGTGGGTCTTCGGGCATGAGCCTGGCCTAGCCCCTCTAGGGGGAGGGACAGAGGGAAAAGACCCAGTTCAGCTTTCCTGCTCCAGCCCTGGTCCTCAGCTGCTCCCTGGGAGCGTGGGGTGGGGGACAAAGTCAAGCAGCTGGCAATCCCCCTTGAGCGCTGGGCAGAGAGCCTTAGGAAGCAAGGGTTTGGCCCAGGAGAGCGGCGGGGGAGGAGCTGGGGAGGGCGAGGATGAGACCTTGACCGTGTAAGTATGCTGTGTGTGTGCCCACGTA